TGGGATTTGGGTTGGGTGGTATTGAGCGGGGGGCGTGGGAGGGGGTGCCGGAGACGACGGCAGCGTAGGTGGAGTCGCGGCGGTTGGAGGGGGCGTTGCGGGAGGGGGGGTTAGACATGGTGTGTGGTGTGGTGGTGGTTTGGTTGGTCGTTGGATATATGTGGTGGTGGAGATTCGGAAGTTAGGTTTATATGCGGAGGGTGAGCGTCCTGGCAGAGTACAGAGCGGAGTCAGACGCTTGATGCCGTCACCGACGAAGGAACGCTATCGGCCGTGAACGATCGGGTGCGATTAACTGATGACGGTGGTTCGTGAAGGCAGTCGGGCGGTAGATTAACGACTCTCCGACACCGAGTGCGGTGCGTTGGAACGGAGGAGATCGGTCGGATGCATGCTCTCTATAGCTGGATGGACAGAACACCGGACGGTTGGGGGATTGGTAAGGAATATGGTGGGTGATGTGTTGGTGAAGCTCGGTGATAGTGGTGGATGAGTGAGGATGGAGGTGACGGTGGAAGTGCTAGCAGTCAGTCGTAGCTTTCCATGGCCCACCACTCCACTACCACGACCTCCACCATGCAACCCACGCTCTTTATTGAACTGGACCACGCAGAGGCGGGGAGCATGAGTTGCCACTGAACGACGATATTGTACCACTTTTGGGATTCATCGATTCAGTATTCACTTATTATTTGATTTCGAAATCACACACACCTCACATCCTCCCGGCATTTCGATGATTTCCGTGATCAGAATTACTTCTATTCAGTACCCTATATATTTTACACCGCCTTTAGAAAACTCCCGATGATGACTCCGAGTCGTGATGTGATTACACCCGAATGAATGCACCGGCCCTTTCGTCCGATTCCCGGCGATAAAGCCCGAACAGTGTAGGGAAACCCATCCCAAAGTGAACCGCACCTCTTCACCGCTTCGCGCCCTTTGCGCCAGTCTAGCCTAGATCATAGAACCGTGTGAACGCCGTGAACAGAGTAGTTCCTGATGCACCCCAGTTCGCCTGAACAGAGGATGCCGGGCGATGCTGATATGCAGTAGGAAACAAGATAACCGTGAAACTCCAGTGTCACCCATCCATGCTGTGATAAGGTATGCACAGGGATAAGACCATGGTGTCACCGTAGTATCGCTAATGTTATGAGGAAGAGGGTTATAGAACCCCGTATGCGATGGATTGTAAGAAGGGACCGGTTGAGAGCCGATGGGAATGATGGACCGGAAATGTTGGAGATGTGTCGCTTGTAAGTGACGTATTCATCTCGACTATTGTCCGGATGCGTATTGTGCAAATCTGCCTATTGTTAGATACGGACTCGTATGTGATGGTAGCCCAGCTTGATGCAGCACGACGGATGGAGATGTGGAAACGTCGAAGGAGGTGCTCGTAGAGGGTGACGAAGACGATATAGATATCTCCGCGAGAGTCAATCACGTACCTTGAAGAACAACCATTCCAAACTTCCTCACGCCGCAGCCACTGGAGCAGGTGAACTCGTAAACCCCCCAACCATTCCCGGCGTCTCCGCATTCGACCCACTCGTCCCATTCTCACTCTGCACTACGCTCGCCATCTGCGCCTCCCCCTCCCCCTTCACCTCACTACTCGCATCGCTCTGCACCTCCCCGTTCGCATCCAAGTTCACCGCCTTCTTCGGCGCGCGCCACGTCGGCGCCTCCCACACGACGCCGGTGAAGCTCTTGACGGAGAAGCCTTTCCGCTCCCATTTGCGGCACGGCTTTCCGGTGCGGTCGAGGGCGCGGAGGCCGGCGTTGATGGCGCCTTGGTTGGCTTTGGGGCCGAGTTTGGGGCCGTGGGTTGTGGGAGTGGGGCCTTTGTAGATTTCGCCGTTGATGAGTTCGCCGCTGGAATGAGGGGTTAGTAATTGATGGATGAGTGGTGAAGGGTTAGGGAGGTGAGGTTGGAGGAGATGGGGAAGGACACCGATGTCTGCTGCTTTCGAGGGTGTCTCGTACGGTAATACCGCCATGAATACTTACATGCGTGGCTTCTTCTTCGGCCCTGGCCTACCTCGAGGCTTCGGCGCTCCATCCAGCGCAGCACTACTCCTCTTCGAACCGGGCTTCGGTCCCGGCATCCCCTTGCTCCGAGCCGCCTGCGCCGCGTCGTCCTCGCCGTTCGCAGCATTCGCATCGCCGTTCGTCGGAGCTGGCGTGCCGTTCGACTCGGATGAACCAGCTGCTTTGGCCTCCTCCTCGACGCTGCTGGGCGTCACTTCTTTAGTGGACAGGTCGGCGGACGGCGACGACTTAGAGGTCGCCTCGGAGGACTTGTCGGATGGAAATCGATCGAGGAGCGAGGGGGGAAGGTGGAGGGTGATGAGCTTGGACTTGGACTTGCCCGAGGCGAGTTTGGTCGCGGTGGAGGGCGGCATGGCGGCGGGTTGGTCGATGATAAGTTGATTCTAGGATGGCGGACGATGAGGATTTACGGTGGTGAGGGTCGCGGACGGTGGTCGACGAGGGTTGGTCGGATGGGTGTCGTATCGTGAGGCGTGCGGCTCCAAACGGAGCGACGGGGTGTGGGCGTGGAATTTGTAGCGGGGAGTAGGCGATGGGTGCAGGATACGTGGGAAAGTGGTGAAGTGGTGATGGGAGGATGGGAAAGTGGTGCAGTGAGTTTTGCAGACGATGGATGGGATGGATTCTGGTGGAAGTGATGAATGGATGATGGAAGGAGAGTGGAAATGGGATGGGTGGGCGTGTGCTGACAGTTGGGGGATGTTGGGGACATTTTCATGGCGCGGATTTCCTTGCACGGCATTTTCAGTGGTTCAGTGGTTCTTTTGGTTGCGGTCGGGCGAGATTGAAGCGTCTGGAGCAGTTTCGGTGTGTGCAGATTTCTGGGTGGTGTTGCTGAGAGGCCCTGACTTAGGAGTGACAGAGTGGGAATAATACCGTAGTGGATCATACCACTCCTTCCATACAATGCTGGCCATACAAATGCAGCCAAATGCCTGTACGCTAGACTGCAAGCATCTAATTCCCCTCTCCCTGCATACACACTATTCCTATTGCGTACATGATATTCACGTGATTTCTCTTCTACAGCTTCATTTCTATTCCATACAATGTGATAGATGATAGATCATGGTGTAAAGTATTCTTCTGGAGAGTTTATTCTTCTCTTGCTATTATCCTCTCTTTACCACATCCTCTTCTCGTCGTACAGCTCAATAGCTTGTCTAACCGTGTTACAACTTTCAAGTCCATCATTGGATCAATCCCCCTAGCCGTAGTGCCCCGGACTCTCTCGTACCGTAGTCGATAATACCAATTTAATACCTTTTTAATCCCACTTGTGTTTGATCCATGAATCCATCCGATCATCCATCCAACGGGATTCATCATCCTCGGCCCCTTTTCTCTTTCCTTCGCTACCGATAGCTTCGTATCTTTGAAAGAATCCTAAAAGCAATCCACCTTCCGCCCTCGGTTCATCATAATTGCCGTGCTTTGTCTGCATTCGCAATCCCACATTCCACCAGGCACGTATTGAGAAGTAGCGAATCCCAGAATCGCATGTAAAGAACTACTGAACTACGGCTCGTTGACGATACATGGTGAATTATTATTGAATGACTTCGCATGGCCATCGCGATCGCCATTTGCTCATCTTTCCCGTTGATCTTTCCGTGTCCTCTTCGCCATCCGCCATCCTCCGTACATGTACATACAATCCGTAGAGTGGGGAGCTCCAAGATGATCTGGTGATGAAACCGATTTGATGGTTTGGCGTCCGCCTTCGCCGCCATGCAATCTTCAGTGCAACCACTGCCTTTGCCAATCCCCAACCACCTCACCACATGCATCCAAAATTTCAATTCCCCATAGTGTGATCATTCCGCGGCTCAGTCACCGTTTTAACCGCCAACCGACCAGCGGCCGACCACGATCATCTATCTACCGAAACGATAAATCGCAGCGCAAGTGATGATCCCTAGCATTCGCCGCTAGAATCCCTTGCGTTTCACCACTTTCACGTCGATTGCTGGTCATTCATTATTCCTTCGCTTGATAAGGGATCCTGGACGCGATCCTCTATCCGAAAACGCGCTGAAACTAGAAATGCGACAAGCCATTTACGGATGGACGCGTGAGATCGATCGCCAGCTGACACCCCACAGACAGGAACTGCCGGAATACAGCTGAACTCGGTCATTACCTGCCATCAGCAGCGTCCCAAAAAAGTCGGCTAGAATTAAGACTTGTCACCGATTGATTCATCATCAGCCGACCACGGAATGGTCCAGCAAACAGACGGAATCTCACGTCGCTTGCTGCTTACCAAATTGATGATCACAACATCAATGAGCTTGGGTGACTCAAGAGACTCCAAGCCACTCTCAAACACCTTTCAGCCATCGATGATTCCGCCGTTTGCTTCTCCGTTTGCCGCCCTTCACGAGTCAGCATCATGGACAATCCATCATGAAGAAGAGCTTAGTCGGACTCATCGCCGTGTATTTAACTATCGGCTCCTTTTTCTCCCTCATTTCAAATGAATGTTTCGTTTATAGTCAGTCTTTTTATGCCCTTCTATATCATAGTCAAGTCTATCAAAGTCTTTGTATATATCCGTATTGTGTGCATTGCCTTTCATCGTCCATGCTGGAGTATATCCAAGTACTCGTAGCTCGTTTACCGTTTCTGCAATTTCGAATTTTCCCCAACTAGAACTCACGGCTAGAATTCCCCCCGCTATGGAGAGCTCCTAGACATCCCGAACTGGAGGAATCCCGACTCTGGAATTCGAGCAAATGGCGGGCGACTTCGCCAGGACTCCTGCTCCGCAAACTTTCAGATGTTGGCTCCGAAATACCCATGAATACCTTCAGCGGCAACTTGGCATCAGTAGCTGCCAGAATGCCGTCTATGGCCCAGCTCACCAGCCACAGTATGGTCCAGAACGCCATCCCCTCCTATATTTGGTCTTAATTCATCAATGGAACATCACACGTGGGAAATTTCTGGGTGCTATGCTTTCAGGAACTCGCAGACATGAGCTGCAGAGTGAAGTTCCAGTTGCTTGCTTTAGTATTACTCGTTCACCCCGATCAACCGCAGAAGTGGATTAGGAAGTGTTGCTACCTACGGGCACGGACATGGATATTCCTTTCGTCCCGGGCCTGATGGAAGCAATTCAAGCATCGACGCCCCCTACCATATCCAATTCACGACCCACTCTCTAAATTCAAGAAGAATCAGCCGTATATATCCTCCCCTGAATCGTTCTTCAGAATCATGGCGGTCATCCATGGATCTGCGTCGGGTCAATTCAGCTTGCTATTGATAGAGCTCGGTGACGATGCCTTGGCTTCTAAAGTATGGATAGAACTATCAATGACAATACAAGCACCAATGGTGGTGCGGCCAGCAGTACGATCCGAAATCAAGGCCTTCCCTTGTAAAGAATCTCTCCGCTCCTTGGTGAGAGAGACAGAGCATGGGATTGGAGTACACTGTTGTACGAAGCACCAACTGGTTTGAATGGATTCGGACCAATCCCAGATTCCTTCCAACCGGATCAAACGAGTACTAAGCCCATTGAATCTCTATTCGGCGAGGTCCCCGGCTCTCCAAATTTCGGCCCGATCCAAAGCGAGTAATTCTAGCAATTATCATTTCCACTGCGCAATTTCCTATGCCCTTCTTTAGAACACAACAGGAATACGCGGTCCCTTGAATAGTATCATTCTTCACAAAGGAGCCCAATCAACGATGGGACAAAGGCGGTATGCCGCCGGCATGAGTCTGCATCTATTATGCACTACTTCCTGATCCATTATCGCTCTCGTCGTGCTTACGGCATATAACTCTTTCTCTCAACAATATCATACAGAACTTCGGGGGGTGGCTGCGAGGTGAAAATCCCCAACATCGTTCATCATTCATTCCCTGTACTGCTGACGACCAAAGTTTATACTCAAAAGCCTGCAGTATTGGCCTACTACACGCCTTCGACATGTGCGAAATCAACGTTTCTACTCAGGCATCGGGTATACCGATGTCACTGGACAGAATCGACCACAAGAATCCCAGAATCTGGCCGTTGGGCCACATGATCCTCGGTCAACAATCAGCAGAATAGCGGAGAGCTACTGATCCGCCGAGTTCCGCGCTGACGGATTCATCACTATATGGAAAATCAACCCCAAGGAGAACCTGTCGTAGGCACGTGTTACACGTGACCCACAGAGCGGCACCATCTTCTTCCTCGACCGTAGCTATTAATACTTAGTTTAGCATGATTAGATCAATCAGACACACCATCTCGGACGAGACGTGCTTGCATTAGTTGCACAGAACCCGCCGACGTCGAACTAAAGACTGTCGTTGTCAAAGAAAAGAAAACGCATCTCCTTCTGTCTTTAACAGCAACACTCCGAACAGCAACACTTCGGAACAGCCGTTATCAAGTCCCCTCTCTACGCTCTCCATCCATGAATATAACATTCGCTTCGACATATTTATCCGTCTTCTTACTCAAGTCTTTATACATTCTTTCATTCTTCAATCTCTCGCAGTCATTATTTTAAACTGCACCAGCCTTGCCTAGAATTAGCAACCTCCATTTCCGTGCCGAAACTATAGTATTCTCGTATTGTGTGGGGGTGCGTGTGCTTTCAAAATGTAACAAGAAGGGTCAAATTCGGGATCCTGTTGAGTGTAGAGTAGGAGATATCATCCAGGTCCTTCAGCACGATCTCAAACGGGTATCTTCTCGTCAACGACTATATAACAATGCCATGCGGTGAGAAATGCTCGTGAAGCAGCAACTTGACCCATTGCGATGCCAAAAGGACGACGCCATTCAAGCTGAAGCTGAGCTTCCCGAGTGGTAACTACAAGAGAGGGTTCTTCAGGAAGCACTATCGAACTATCAGAAAGAGGGGGAAAACACATCAGATTCCGTCTAGAAAATGGCGGTTGTCGTGACATGAATCGAATCCAAAGCGGCACCCAGCACTCAGTACAGAGTGAAGTATTCATGCCATTAAGAAAACAACATGGAATTCGACATGATGACAGCAACTCTGGTGTTCAAATCTTGAACGCCCAGCTCGAAGAAGCGGAAAAACGCAACCACGAGTTCGTTACAGAACACCGGATCAAGCTCCCGGATCCGCATTATTTCGGGATATCGCGTGGTTAGATCTCCGGATCCAAAATTCCTGTCCTTACAATGGACAAATCCAACTTCATCCACACTCTCCCAGATCAAATAATGCCTTCTACAGGATCTTGTGATTTCTGTACCACTGGACCATGTTCAAAGGTTGCCACAATATCCGAAAAATTCTGCAGGCCCGATACCAGGGTGTGGAAATCCAGACCTTCGACTCTAGTGCTTTTGTTCAGTATGCAAGAGAGAATTTCAATACTGCATGTCATCGTCCTATATTTTACTAGTTCCTAGTCGTCTGCTTTACCGTAAGTCTTGCTTTCTCGCTATCCCGCGCCACAGAAACCCAATTCAGAGTCCCTGGCTGGCCAGCGCAGGGCCAAACTGACGTGTTATTTCTGGTCGTTCTTAAAAGGGTTGTCCCGAGCGAGCGGGTTGGGATTCTCTTTGGATAACGTACGGCATGTTCTGCTACCTGCAATCCTTTACAAAGGGCACCCATCTCAACTCGGGCTGTCAACCAAGTGGTCGATGAATATATCACCTGCCATGTTCCTAGCACTACCTACCACACAAGGCGATAGACTCCAGATTTATTCAACTTGGATCGTTGGTTTTCACTCCCAGTTCTATAGGATAGTAAGGGCTCTCTCAAACGTACGTCTCTTGTTGTCTCAGTCATATCTTCACCACCTACTTAACTTCTATTTCCTTCAATCATTTTGGAATTTCAGACAAGGCTGACTATCATCACCATACTGGTGGAAAAGTTCAGAAGAAGGCCTAGACAAGGAACGGCGTTTTCTCGGGTAGTACTATTGCTGTTGCTCTGGATCCGACACAGATAATAATGGCACACAGACAACCATCACACTTAGACCTTTCATGGATTCAAACCCGCAGTACAGCGGCACGTACATTTCAATCCAAATGTTCTAGCCAGAGTCCAGCACCCAAAAGTTGACGACACGGCTGATGTCGGCTCCTCCGCGGAAGCACCAGAAACCGCCTCCCAAGGAGGATTACATGTTCCCTGAACCACTAACCCCCCTGTCCGTCTTTGTGTGCTTCAGTCCTCTTTCTCATCGCAATCGTCCTCAATCGATCCCATTCTCTCTTACTTTATCAAATACTTCATTAGTGCCGTCGCCATTTCCTCGTCGGGTTTCGAAATCATGTTTCAGGGCAACGGGTGTCACCACACCTTCGGTGAAGACATCCATCGTTGCCATCTTTTGCAGTGGATTACTCGAATGCGTTGTGAAACTCGAGTTTGGTGTAGGCGTACACTGTAGCGAAATCGATCACCACGCAGGAGACAGCAGATTTAAGAGCGTCGTGTCCCACCTTGGATCCCCTATAATCATGTTTGTTTGGTAGTGAATTTGAGTCGGAAGACTCAGTCCTAGGCCGACAACTTTCAAGACATCACAAATCAGATCTAAAGATCCTCTTAGCTTAGGTAATTGAACCCGAGACCAATGTCCTCGCAGGTCAAGGTTCTATCAGGTGGCGGTTTGATCTTAGTGGCTGCCTTGCAAACGTTCGTAGACGGCCAAACCGTATGCTCATACCTATGTGGGAGAGAAACCTGCGTAACCCCTTCCATACACATAGTCATGTAGAATCACGAAGGGAATATGAACCAAATCTGCTTCCAGAGGGATTCTAGAACGAGGGAACAAAGTCATCTATTGAAGACCAAGGAAGGAAACAAAAAAACATTTTCACTCAACAATAATCGGACGGTATCAGTACGCTTGGCCGTTGCGGGAAATTTCCTGAAATTGCAGTCTGAGCTGAAAATCAGTTATTCTCCGTTCTCGCAATGGGGAGGAAATACATTGGCCCTCAGGGTTGCGTGAAAGATTGAGTATCGATTCTGTAACGTATTCCACAAGCGAGCCGCCACTACAAGCGAGCCGCCACCTCAACCTATACCAAACCACTTCAAGTACAGATTTCTCTACAACGCCAAATAAAATCACTTATTTATAATATCTAGTATATTCTACAGTATCTTGCCGACCTAGAGGACATGTTTCAATACGATGTCCTACCTCACGGCAGCGTCCACATCGCCTTCGACGCGGCGCAGCCCC